CTCCTCCTCCTCCTCCTCCTCCTCCTCCTCCTCCTCCTCCTCGTCTATGTCTGGCGATGCGGCAAGGATGGGCGGACTCTCGTCGTGTCCGGTGTTGGAGTGGCCCGCGTCCTTTGCCTCCGTGTCGCTCGCGTCGGGTTCGCCAGGGAAAGTCAAAGTGAGCATCAAGGATTTCCGGAAGTCAACGGGCGGCGATCAGGGGGCGGAAGGGGGGGGAGTGATCAAAGGCATCCTGGACGTCGAGACCGACAAGCTGCAGAGGGATCCCAGCGGTGAGAGAGCATGCTTAGCTGTCATTGTGTGCGGGGAGGATGGGGAGTACTACAGCGACCCGTGTACCGCGGCCGACTTCGGTATCCCAACCAGTCCCGACTATAGCGTCTGTGAAGGTAAGCCTCAGTATTCCCTCGTTGCCTGCGACTCTGACGGCGTCTGCCATGCAGACGACGACGACGACGACGACGACGAAGCAGAAGAAGAAGAAGAAGAAGAAGGAGCACATGATGACGTCCACTCCTCTTCCCAAGCACGCCATGCCCGGTATGATCACGACGCTGAAGAGGGTGCTCAGCTGGAAGGAGGCGTGGGAGAAGAAAAAGATGACGTCAACTCCACCTCCTCGATAGAAGTGCATGGCAATGGCGATGGGGAGAATGGTCAGCACAACCTTGGACTCTCTCATTCCCTGAGGCAGGAAGAAGAACAAGAGTTGGGATCAACTCCATCCTCTCTCTCTTTCCGACTAAGTTCTGCGGGCAGCGCCAGCAGACCAAGGTACGTGCCTGGTCCGGTTCACCTCTTCCTTCGCCAGCATGTGCCAGTCCCTCTGCCTAACCACAAAGCAAACGGAGAACACATAACGTTGGACGTCAACACGTGGCTTCGCAGCGCTCTGGTGTCGACAGATATCCCTCCGCGGGTGACAAGTGTGGTGTTCTGGGTGAGTCACACAGCAGAAGGCGGCGCGCTTTACTTGCTGCTGAAGCGCGCCGAGGGAGGTGTTTGTCTTAAGACCGTCGACGTTGAGAAGCAGGTCGACATATCGTTCGACTGCGGACCCGGCATCGCGCAGGCGGCGCAGTATGCCAAGTTTCACAGAGGAACGATTCAAAAAGCCAAGAACAGAGACTTCAACGACGCTAGACTGGTGTACTTGCGCACAGGGAAACAGAGTGCATCGTGCTTCAACTCCCTCGTTTGCGCCAGATACCATAGGAATGGTACCCTCACGTACGTCGGCCACGCCACGCATCAGTCCATCGCGGCAACCAGCAAACCCTTCCTTCTCTACACCAATAGGGGAGCGGAACTCGAGGTTGTCGACTACACCACTGCAAGCCCGCCCAAGACCAAAAGGCGATATGCCGCCATCGAACTCCTCCACCGATTAGATCAGGAGTAAGCCCCCCCCCCCCC